AGACCTCATCCCTCATCCACGCTGATGTCTTACCCAGTCGTAATAGGAGTGAATTTCGCGAATATTGATACTCATTTGATCTGTTCAGCGTATTAATTTACAGGGCAGTCATTTTCTTCAGTATGCTCATTAGTACGAATTTGCTGCACATCCTGCCTGACACTGTTTTATCAGGATGTGCGAGACTGGTGATTTTTGTTGTGTCCGGCGCGTTGTTAATTTCGTGCGGTTTGCAGTTGTTGCTGCTACGGGGCTATGCCTTCAATCATACGGCCGATTTCGAAACTGTTCGTTTGTTGAAGGAAAGACTGTGCTATGTTGCATACGATGTCGAAAAAGAGCAACGCCTGGCGCTTGAAACAACCGTCCTTTCGGAATCGTACACTGTAAATTCTTCCCACCGCTCACTTCTTTTCTTGTCATTTGAGCACTGCATATCCTATGTTATGCTGCTGGTGTGTTGCAGTTGCCAGATGGTCGTGTAATTCGTGTTGGAGGTGAGAGGTTCGAAGCACCGGAGGTTCTTTTTCAGCCGCATTTAATTGATGTTGAAAAAGCAGGTCTTAGTGAATTGCTGTTTGGAGTAATACAGTCGGCGGACATTGGTAAGCATTTCTCAGTGCTTCCTGCAAATAATAACAGCCAAAAACCAGTTGATGAGCCATAATCTGTGAAGTTTTGTACGCATTGCATCTTTCACTCAACTTCATCCAGCTCTATCAGATTGCCCGATGCGTGTGTAGCGATCTGGCGTTGCTGAGCGAGTCGTGTGTTAGGTTCATTATAGCGAGCAACTGCCACGAATATTTATTTCTTAATAAATTGTGCTGATTTTGCGATATTAGTAAATTCTTTTGCAAATTTCATGGCATAATCTCCTTTTTCAGGTTTTTTGCAGCTACATTCAATGACCAAATTTTTTTTTTTGATTTTCATACTTAAAGTACGTTAATGAAATCAGTGATTTTTACGCTTCCTAAGGTTGCTCGAAGAACTCTCTGTGCCTTCAGATACGCGACTCGAATTCTACAAGCATATAGTGTTATCGGGTGGTAGCACCATGTATCCCGGACTTCAGAGTCGTCTGGAGCGCGAATTAAAGCAACTTTATTTGGATCGGGTACTCAAGGGAAACACCGAAGCCTTTCAGGTTTGCTGAGTATTGTCCTGTTCATTTAAGGGACTGCATGAATCAGGGGTGTGTCCTGTTCTGCTTGTCACTGGGGTAAAATTCGGCATGAAAATGCAATTAACCATCTGATGCTCGTGAAATTTAGTTGCTCAACGTTAAGTTCAGCTGTGGGACACGGAATTTGGCACAATAACCATCTGTATTCTGCTAAGTTGTGGCTTGGAATGTCGGATTCTAGGTACCAAATTTGAAGAGTAAGGCTGTAAATCGGTTTTTCCCTTCGTTTTAAAGTCAGGAAATGTCACATATGTGAGCCGTGATTAGAAAAAATCATTTTGTCGTGGACTTGTAACTTGACGGGCGAAATGCTTTGGGATGTGAAATTATTTCAGAAATTCAAAATACGCATTGAGGCTCCACCGCGAAGGCAGCATATGGTATTTCTTGGAGGTGCTGTTCTTGCAAATATTATGAGGGATCGGGACACGGTATGTTCAATTTGATAACCGAATTTGCTTCACTGGTATCATCCGCTGGTCTGATCGTATGGGTTTTCAGGATTTCTGGATTTCCAAAAATGAATACGTC